AGATACAACACATAGTTTCAGTATAAGGGGCAAGCAATCTTGCATAGCACTTCTACTCCAGGCAATCCAATGGACAAACCCCATCGACCACCTTCCCCCGACCCACCCCAGCTGGCACAGAATTTCACCTGTTGACCAACCAAGAAAGCTAGAACACAAGCCCAGATGCTGTATTTATATTAACAAATCAATCACCAGCTATAACTTCCACCGCCTTCCGGATAACTCCAAATTCTTGACTGCTGTTTCCCTCACAGTTGAATCCTCCTCCCCGACTTCATTTTTCCTCATCTCCCTTTATAACCCCCCCCCTTCATTTGCTGCAATTCCGATCCTCCACTCCTGGTTATCAAATAACTACTCCAGACAGCTCCCTACCATCCTAATGATGGACTCTAACTTACACCATCCCCGTTGGAACCCACCCCACTATCGCCACACTCACTCAGCCTCCAAAGATCTTATCAAAATCTGCGGAAGAAAAGGCTTCTTCCTAACCTCCCCCCCAGGAGTTCCAACCTTCCTCGGCCCCAAAGGAACCCAGACAACCATTGATCTTTGCTGGGTAAATACACACTGCAAACCACGCATTCGAGAATGCTCAGTTGCCCTAGAAAATCACGCCTCCGATCACCAACCCATTCGGTTGACCCTTTCCCTAACTGAAGCTCTGTTAGATCCTCCCCCAACCCGGGGAATTACCCCCAATAAAATTGATCCCCACCGTTTCCAAGAAGACCTGAAGAAATTCCTTGCTGACATCCCCACCCCTCACTCCTCAGATGATGTTCCCTCCATTGACACAACAGTTAGAAAGCTAACCACGGGCATCCAGCTCTGTCATCAGAAGCAGGGTACAATACCATGGAGGGGAAACACCCGAGCAAACTCGTGGTGGGACCCCCAAATACTACAACCTCTGGTGTCCAACAGGAATCGGGCTTGCAGATGGATGATCCTCTCCAACTCCAATGAAGCGCGCCAATGCTATTTTGCTTGGCAATCTGCTTTCAAAAAGAAGGTGGAGGAGTTGAAACTCCTGCACTGGAGACGGTTTCTTGCCAGAACCAGCGATGCCTCAGCTTTTCAGGCCTACAAGTTCACAAAGGCCAAACAATCCGCAACTGTTGAATCGCTATACCGGGAAAACAACACTCTCTGCACCACTGTCACCGAACAGGCGAGCATACTGTTTCGAGGAACCTCTATCATAAATTCGGAATGTGATCTGTCGGACATCCCCCCGGCTATCCATCCTGATGAACCCCCTGTTTTTCCCCCCTTGACTTCAGCTGAACTAAACCGTGCCATAGACTCTCTCCCCCCCAGAAAGGCGGTAGGACCAGACTCCATCCCAAATGAGCTGCTCCGCATGGGCAAAACCGTACTGGCGCCTTTCCTCACCCCCCCTATTCAATGCATGCCTCAGACGGGGCCATTTCCCCAAGGATTGGAGAACAGCAACCACCGCCATCATTCGCAAAGCAGGGAAAGCCGACTACAGCAATCCAAACTCTTATCGACCAATAGCTTTACTGTGCACGTTAGGAAAGCTTTTGGAGAAAATTCTCAATGAGCGGCTGATTCATTGGATTGAAACTAAAGAAATCCTACCCCAAGGTCATATGGGAGGCCGGCGCGGCCGCAATATCACTGATGCTCTAATTCTCTTTACTTCCTGGATCAAACAACAATGGCGGAAGGGGAAAATTGTTGCAGGAATCTTCCTGGACGTAAAATCAGCCTACCCCTCAGTCTACTCAACTAGGCTGATAGACTGCTTATCTCGCTTATCATGCCCCAGATACCTTACTTCACTGATCTCCTCTTTCCTTACTGACAGGTCTACTTCAATGAGACTAGGCGACTACACATCTCCCCTATTTTCTATAAAGGAAGGCCTTCCACAAGGCTCTCCCCTTTCTGTTACTCTTTATATCCTTTATAACAGCGGTTTACTAATAAATAACAGCTGCTCTCTGGAGGATAATCTGATGTTGTTCATCTGGTGGCAGCCAACTCACTAGAAGAGGCAACCAGTATGCTCCAAGAAGAAGCTTCCCAATCGCTAGATTGGGGTCGAAAATTTGGGGCCATCTTCGACAGGAAGAAGGCTGTACTGATGCTGTTCTCTCATAAAAACTTGAACCCTCCCCCCTTTGACTTTGACGGCCACTCCCTCACCTTTCAAAAATCCACCAGATGGTTAGGTATTATCCTAGACCAGAGACTGACCTTTTCAGAACATCTACGGAAAGTCAAGACCACAGGCGATGTGACCCTCTTGCAACTCAATCGCATCATCAAGTCAACTCATGGGCTCAACCCAGCTCTGGTGAGAAAACTGATCATATCGGTCCTTTATTCCAGGATTCTATTTGGAAGTATCATCTGGTACTCCAAAAGGAATGCAAATACAGTCAAACAAGTGCTAGATGGGCTTTACCATCGGGCGTGTAGACTTATCACGGGCCTCTTCCGACAAACTCCGCTGGTTTTTGTTCGACTCAGCAGCGGCCTGACACCTCCCCATGTGATTCACCTCCAAAACTCACACCTCTACATCCTACGAGCTCTAGCTCACCCCCCCTCCCATCCGGTCTATTCTATTCTCAAGACAGAGCTGATCAGGAACCAACCCTCCTTTCCCAGTCCTATTCACTCTCTTCTGACTCCCCCCTCCCCCTTTGAGTTACCGACAGACCACATCGAGACGATCCGACCAGTTCCTGCCCCTCCCTGGATAGGAAACACGGTAACCTTACATAACACAAACAATAAGAGGGAGACGGTGTTACAACGCCTCCCGAACCAGCTGAAGTCAGAGCTAAGAGAGAACACTCTCATCATCTTCACAGATGGATTGTGGATTCCAGGAAAAGGGGCAGGAGCGGCGGCAGTAGTCCATCCGTCAGGCCAGGCAAAAAGCGCCACAATTGGGCCCGCCGAATATTTATCCAACTCCGAAGCCAAGCTGATTGGCATAAGACTAGCCATAACGCTAGCCCAAGAACTTTTAGAGGCTGACTTTTCTCATTCCTTCTCGGCGATTGCCATTTTCAGCGACAACCAAGGAGCTTTGATCAGATCCGCGGACCCCCTGTCCCTGTCCTCGGGGCAGCATATTTATACTGACAATTTCTTTCAATTCAGACTTCTAGGCATACCAGTCAGGCTGTACTGGTGCCCAGGCCATGAAGGAGTGGAAGCTAATGAGAGAGCCGACCTTTTAGCCAAGACCGCAGCGCAATGCGACTCCATGACACTACCAGAAAATACACAACGAATTGTGCTTCCGATCAGCCTAGCGAAGACCAAACAGCTCTGTCGAGCTAAAACCACAGCACCCTCCTCATTGACAGAGGACGAGAGAAGAAGATTTCCCTTTTCTTTCAACAACTCAAAATTAATAGCTGCCCTTTATACAGAGGAAAAGGGACTTGCGGCAACCATTTTCCAACTTCGTGCTGACCATGCTCCACTCAATAACTTTCTCTTCAAGATCAAAGCGATCTTAGACCCTAGATGTGCTAACTGCCATGTGCTTGAAAGCGCAGCTCATTTTCTTATGTTTTGCACCAGGTACAAAAAGGCGAGATCACTCTTCAAGAGGAAACTCAAACAACTCAAGTGTGGGATCAATCCACACTCCTTCCGATCGATAATGGACAACCACAAGGCAATGAAAGAAGTGGCGGACTTCATCATCACGACCAACCGCTTCCCCAACATTCGAAGATACAACTCACCACCGGATTAACATTTCACAACAGACACCTTTTTGCCTTATTCTCTTCCATACTCAGCCTACCTTCCCTAATGTTTTTGATTCTGCCTTTTTCCTCAGTTTCTCTTTTTTCTTTTTTTTCTTCATTTTCTCGATCTTTTCTTTACATTCTTGTTCTCTTCAAATATGTAGGATCGCCCAAGGTATTAGGGACCCCAACCCGGACTCCCCGAAGACCTAATGGCTTGGGTGAATTGGGGATAGCCCAGAAGCCTCTCAACAAGTTAGGTTGCTGCTCAGGGTAGTGGGGGCCCTTTGATGCGCACCGGCTTTGTTAAAATGGTGGAACGGGAGGAAGGGTAGGGGTTTTCCGAAGACCTAGGTGTCCGTAGTACCCCCTCTCTCTCTCCTTATCATTTTTCTGCTCCAAGTCTGATTTTAAATTTTTCGGTAAAAACACAAGTCTCCTCCGGTTTCCCTATTTCAATGATTCTCTAGTTTGTCTGATCCACTTCGGTAGTTTTCCTTTCTTTCCGGTTATCTTATATTCTTCTTTTTCCGTTTGTTTCTTTCTTTTCCTTTCCTCTTTCCTTTTCCTTTTCTCTTTCCTTTTCCTTTTCTCCTTCTATACACACACACCAAGTCTCACACGCCAGTAGTTACGTCTTATAAGAACTTGTTTCATGACGCTAGTTGTTTATAGGAGTATACATGTATATACATAACATCTAAACTAGATTAATAGTGCGGTATGTGAAATCAATAGCACTATAAAAAAAAAAAAAAAAAAAAAAACACAACAGAAATCTACTTGTAACAACTTTTTTACATTGGTTATTATTGGGCAATAATTCAATTCAATATAAATCAAATGTACTGCCACTATCTATTTGACATGAAAAAAGATAAATTGGAATTTGCAACAGTCCAACCCACAGCCTCAGCATTTCTTAGGGAAGTTCACATTGGGAAATTTAACATCACTTTGATGATGCTGATGTCAAAATTTTCAGAAAACTACACATCCAGCCAAAACATCAGAAACACTCCAATCTTGATGTCTAAGAATCTTATTAAAAATTGATCATCAGCATCAGTAAACTGATGTTCAAGTTCCTAATGTGAATTGCCCTATTGAATGTGTTTGTTCCAAAAAAATGTTGGAAATTTCAAGAATTTTCACTGCTGGTAACATGCCTGTTCCCTTTTCAATTCTTTACAGTGGGTGTCACAGAGCCATTGTGGCACATCTTACCCTGTCTAAAATTTTTTGAGTGGGACAAAATGTTTGAAAACTTTCCCCGGGGGTATGTAGGGGCAGAAGGATTGTTTTTTGAGAAAATTGACCGTTTATTGTTTGTTTTCGGGGTTCTCGGGGAGTGCCTCCCGTGGGAATGATGTCATTTTGAGATTTCTCCCTCTCCCGTCCAGAGGATTGTTCTCCTGTTGACCATCACCACCTCCCTCATCCACATCCTCAATGATGGCCAGCTTCATCAAACCCAGAACGGCGGAGACTGGCAATAGAACACTCGAATCACTCCCAGAGGACATCCTCGAGCAAATCATCAACCATCTCGACCTGCGCTCGATCAGCCGACTCTCTCGTGCATCTCACTCACTACTCAGTTTAACTCGCTCGGACTCACTCTGGAGAAGAATCGCTAAGGCTCTGATCGGACCATGGATCCATCGATCACTGCTTTCAACCAATCTCAACTCCCGCTCTGAACTCACTCACCATGTCCAACAAAAACACTCCGATTGGACCCTCGACCCTAACTGTTTCCCTCTCTCCCAATTCTCTCGTTCGACTCCCTCTCACCAAAGTCAGGAGCTCTTGATCACCTCCTGGTATCAATTCTCCGCCCGCTTCCTGATCCCCCATTTTCATTTTCTGGGTCAGTCAATCTGCACATTCTCTCCATCCATGAAATATATATGTATGCTAATAACCATAAATATCTGTTGTTGTTTAGGCTGGCATGTTTCGAACATCGTTCCGCATGGTCAGCTCATCCTAGTCACCTATGATACGTCGTCCGGTCGATTGCTAGCAGAAGAGATCAAGTGTCAGAACCTCTACAGTACTCCGCCGGACTCATTTTTCATCCCCCCATTCAGTCTAGGTCGTTCAGAAGCAAACTCCCAATCTTCTACTCAGCACACCCAAGCACCGGTCTGGCCATCATGGCTACCTTTGAGCCAGATCCGCTTGGACTCAAATCGGGTCCAATATAGTCTTGCGCCTGGGATTGACTCTCCAAGCTCAAGATACACCTTCGACATCTTTGCTCCAGCCTACGCCTCTTCCCCACTATTCTCGATCTTCCCCTTCGAACCTCACTACCGCTTGGCGTGTGTACCCAGCTCATATCAACAGATCACTATCCAAAAACCCAAGCTGATCGTCAAACCCTGGAGCACATTAATAACCAAAGAGTCGCTCACTCCGCTCTGTAATCCTGCCCAAGTCATCGCCCGTCGATCGAACATCCTCTCCCGCGATATTCTGGACCAAGAGGATCTGACCGACCTGCTCAGTAATCCGGGAATCGGCGTCAACGAATTTCATTCCCTCACTCTTGCCTCCTCCCCTGAGGGTCCAGCCTCCAGAGTAGACACCCCAGTCAGTGAAGACCATGCCCGAATCCGTTACCAAGGGGGCCCTCGTCAACAGCAAGTTCGGACCTCCAACATCTTACTAGGGGGACGAACGTATACGACCAATGGGGCGGGACTTCTTCGACCAGTCGTCCACTTCCCGATCTGGTCAATCGAATATTATCCGCTCAACGGTCCCACACCGTATCCTCCGCCTCCTCTCCCTCCTCTTCATCGTCATTACCAGTCAGAAAAATCACTTGAAGGTCTCTGGGTGGGCTGTTATGGTAGTCATGGGACCGAATTCGGTCGAATCATCGTCGACTCCTTTCAGATCTCGTTTGTCAAACTTACCGGTGATCCTAATATCCCCGCCGGTCAAGTTAGTTGGAAAGTTAAATACGACCCCCTCGTCCCTCTGAATCCTATCCCAATCTCGGAGGCTATCTCTATCGATCTTGGGGCTAGTTTGGCCGATGGTGGCTGGCTCAGAGGTCATGGACAAGGTGCGCTCTTTTTCTCTTTCTCTGTCACGCCTCATTTGTTACTTTCTTTGGCCCAGGAAATCTCACTTTTTTGTTTTTCTAGTGGCTAATACGAATTACGAAGAACCCGGATGGATTAATACTGAAGTCCAATTTATTTCTAATGATATGTCGTCCGATTCTCATACTCTTTCGTCCGATTCTCATCAAGTATTACTAAAGGAGGAGGTCCAACAGATTAGAGTCAAGTGGATCGAACTCGGTCGGGTCTCAACTTTCTTCAAGGTCTCGTTTTCTTGAATCCCATCGTCTTCTTCTCCTTACCCTCACTCTCAATTTCTTCATCTCTTTGAGTCACCCCCCCCCCTCCCTCTCCCTTTTTTTGAAACTTGCACACTGTCAATTAGCTTCGTTTATCTCTTCGTTTTTGTTCAAGTCGATTAAAGAAAAGATCAACTCAATCATCTGATCTAAAATGTAACCATAACAATACTTCGAATTTCTTTGTTTTAATTATAGATATAAACACATTGTTCTTCTGGTTTGCTCATTTATTCTTTATATAGGTGTGTACGTGTATATTCATTGTGGGTTATTGTGGATACTTAACAAGCTCTTTTCAAATATATGTGTGTAAACAAGTCAATCTCTTTCCTCCTCTGCACCATCCTTCTTTCTTCTCTCCCATTTTTTTACAAGATCTAACTAACAGCAATCAAAAAAAGTAGTTTTTTTTTCTCAAACTTTCTCAAGACTGATAAATAGCCAAGACAAATTGCAATTAAAATGTGAATTTTTAGATCTTTTGTAGTTCCATGATGCTGAGCTTCCTCTGCACCATTAGACGATTCCAAAAGGACCATCTATGCTATAAACTCTTGGGTCAGAAAAACTTGTGACAGCTGCGCTCCCTCCTGAGCAAATCAACTGATTGCCAATTTGCCCCCCCCCCCTGGGCAGTTTTACCCCAGCCACTGCACAGCACCAAATTGTCTCATCTGTGGGCATAGAATATGGTGTAAATCAAAGACAAATTTATCTCATTGGGGACAGCAGTTGAAGCAACCTATAATAAGTGGATTTACTGAAAAAGAAAACATGGTGTTTGGGATAGAAACCCTTCAGAATACAAGGAGTCACACTGCCAGAAAACTGTATCATTTTTTTACCCCTTCAAGAGAGTTGAGCAAAGTAGTACACATGGCCAATTTTAAGGGACACTCACTCAATCAAACCAATCATCCTGCAATGATAGTTGGCTGGGTAGGTTTTCTCCTCTGGTATGTAGTCTCAATTGATCTTACCTATTCCATAATTCACTGAAAAACTAAACCCACCCACCCACTATAAATCACCACACATATTTGTAAAGTTAGGTTTTGACCAAAGTGCTTCCGCCTCACTAATTTATCATAAGCTGTGTGAGGTTGTTCAGTAGGAAACCGAGTACTGCTCACCTCATTGGCTGGCTCTGTCTTTGCAAAAGATGCAGTATTTATAAAGAAGAAGAAAAGCGTATAATTGCGGGATGAGGCCCCGCAAGGCGTGAATCAAAGGAAACCCGTTAGCATTTAGGGAGGGCTTTGTCCCAAAATTTACATGCCTCATTATTTTCTTCTTGTTTTGCGCCCCCATTTCATCTGGGAACGGAGCAGTACAAAAAAGGCTGCTTGGGCTGACTTGACCAAATTTCTCTGTTTTTCCTCTGGGACTCTCTGAAACAGGTTAGTTGGGCAAGATGGGGTGTAATCAGAAACGCTGTCCGGCTGGGACCCTCTGAAGGAGGTTACTTCGGTGAGATGGGACATCATCCAACACACTTTTGGGTTTGACTTGTTGTACCGCAGGCTACACAGATGACGTGTCAAAAGTGGAACTTTTTCGCCTAAGATTACTTTCAGCCCCTGATAAGACGCGTAGGGCCGACCTGTGATTATCTGCAAGATAATCTGACTGAAATGGTATGTTCTCTTACATGAAAAAGAAGTTGATTTGAACAGAGTTCGTCCGTCTGAAGGGCTAGCAGGGTGCACATAACGGGCTGTAAAAAGTCTGTTATGAGGACACAACTCGCGTGACCGAGAAATGTGATCTGGGTGAGGGAAACGGATTTTAAATCCGACCGGGTCTCTTGTCCATTCTTTGCCTGAAAGGAAGTATGTGATCTGTTACTGCAGCCGAAACCCACAAGTACTTGGTTTGCGCGGTGGTAAGGTACAACTTTCACTGGTGGGAGATGACTCGATGCTCTTGAGTCTTTTCACATCCATCCACCCAGCCGTCTGGGTTATATATAGTGGGTTTGGCCTAGTGGGGAAATGGAGAATTGGTTGCACTGTCTGTCATCAACATTTCAAAATTCAATCTTTTTCTGCTAACCAAGGTTATCCAAGCCTTTAAAAATTTTCAGAACTCAAATCTGTGATAGAATTAATTTACATACATACCCAAAGCTTTCCTGAGCCCAAATTGTTTCCTAAACAAAAAGTTTTCCAACACATACTCATCCCAAAATACACACTTACAACATGCTTTCCCAATACATAGTTATTAGTGTTTGGTATATCTCTGCTGTGTATGGCATGTATCCTCATGCAGCTAGTGGCATGAAGAGAGTTGGAAGAGAGGCCATTTATGCGGGTCAAGATGGTGAATAATTCTTCATACTCCAATTCTGGATCATAGATTATTAACCTTTCTGGAACTTTCTGATTGACTCCTCATTCCTGATTCATTTGCAGATGTATCTGGGATGGCTAGGGAAGATCCAACAATGATCTATGGGAGACCGGTTAAGAAAACTGGACATGCAACCACTTCAACCTCCCAGGATAGACAAAGTGGTAAGTAAATTAACTATTTTGTGAACCTAATTATAATTTATCACACTGGGAACCTGACCAGGAATTGGTATACTATCACAGAGCATCAGAATATGGTTCTCCTTAGGTTTTTCATTCTATTTCACAGTTTTACTGAGGGCTGAAATTTTTCCTGATTGCAGAAGAAAATGTAGATGTTTCCCTGGAAGAGGCTAAAGAAGGAATCTCAGCCTTGGGCATGAAGCTGGAAGAAGAAATGAAAATATTTGAAACAATTGTTGATTCTGTGGGCCCAATTTCATTTTCCAAAGAAAGGGAACTTGCAGATAGCTTCAAAAAGGGAGTTTCTGCATTGATAGATTGCCACCTAAAAACCCTAAAATCACATTCCGATTTTCATTCATTGCCATCAGAACTTTCAGCAGAAAATCACTATGTTCAAACTGTTTATAAATCACTTGTGCTTTCAAACTCTATGGCACCCGGTGAAGCATTGCAGATGTTGGGCCACACCCTTCTGGAACAATTGAAGCCAATAATTATTGAATTTCACCTTCCAACAAGACTCAAAGACTATGTATTTGATTTTTTTCAGAGGAAAAATATTAAAGATGGTCAAGTCAATAAATTGGCTGGCTGGGAATATTTTTTTGGATCAATTGATCTGCTCTTCAAGCATGGAATCATCAGTCAAAAATCACTCAATGAAAATTTGCGTCAGATGCAACTTGTGGATCAATTATATGCTTACAGTAAAATTTTCTGGGATGGTAAATTACTAGAGGTTACACGTCAAGATGAAAGTTACATCACTCAGCACTGGTACTTCCCAGCATTTCATGATTCTTTAACCTGTAAGTTCCTGTTTTCATTCAGCTTGTACAAATTTTTACTTGGGTCCCAAGCTGATCGTGAATCATTTTCATTTCTCATAAAAAAGATTTAGGAGAAAACGAGAAAGGAATGATAAATCTGTATAATTCTTACAAAAGGCTAGGTGAATTGGTTGAAGAATATGGTCTTGATGAAAAACCTGAAACAAGATTTTTGGAAGACTTCCCAATGAACAAGTATTTTGAAATGATTGGAAGAAAACAAGTAGAAAAAATTGCTGCTAATAGTGAAAAGGCCAATTTCCACCCAGTAGCTCAAGATTATCACGGAACAGATGAGGTTGAAAGCCTCTTGAATCTGATCAAAAACCTCTTAGATAAAGGTGCAAGGGATGATAAGGAATTAAATCGTTTGGTTAAAATTAGTTGTGAAATGTTACATTTAATTGAAATACACTTCTTCCCAGGAATTACAGAAGCAAAGTCAATCAAATTGCTTGGGAAAGGATCAAATATGATGATGAAGAAGATAAAATTCATATTATTGCATACAAGAATTGATAAAGCTGTCAAGAATGCAGATAGATGCTACTACATGTGTGTGACTAAAAGCAGAATCCCCGAGGAGAAATTGAGTCATCTGAACTTACAAGTTATCTATCAGAAATATCAAGATCAAATAAATTCTATGTATGCAGAATTTGAACAGGCATATTTATCAACGGTTCAAAATATAGAAATTGACACTTCCTTGTGGTTTATGGAACAAAATGACATGACTGGACTTCTGCGCAATGGTCCAAAGCCCTTAGACGGTTTGAAACAAATACATGAATGAAAATCAACAGATTTGTCTGGTTGAATTGTTTTTTTGAGCTATTTTCACCGTCAAAAGTGAGTTGACTCAATTGGCAGTATCAAAACCCCTTCACAAAAGAAAAAGAAAAAAGAAATCTTCTCAATCCAAATCTGAACCACTTTTATTCAAAGAGAATTTTCATCTCCAATAGAAAATCACACAAAAAAGAAAAGAAAAAAATATTTAAAAAGGTAATAAATCAACCACAAAAAAAATAGATCTCTTCACATCTCACAAAATTTTGGAATACCATCATGCAAGTTTGCTCTAATTTGATTTCACAATCTTTGTTCATTCCTGTTTCATATCATCAATCCAGACCAAAGATATACAAATCCAGACCAAAGATATACAAATCCAGACCAAAGATATACAAATCCAGACCAAAGATATACAAGATCATTTGTTTCAGTTTTCTACAGAAATCGGATACTCACCAGGGGGTGCATTAGCTTTACAACTGCACATCCAGGTCTACAATCTACATTTGTTACTGCCAGCCCACTGGCACTGCTCTGCACTTGAATCTACTTGTTTGAGATGTGTTCTGGTTTTCAAATATCCCTATGCTGTCTCTCCAGAAATAAATGTGCATCTGCCCGCTCCGCCGTAGCGTGACATCAGCTGCTTTTGGTGCTGTTCTTTTGGGCATGTATGTGGCCAAAGTGGAAAGCAATTGCTCCCATGTGCAGAGATCAGAAGTAGCGTTTGGCCGCTGCTGTTGGTCCCGCCAGCTGGTGCCCAGAAAAGCACATTGCCGCTGCGCAACAAGAAATCACTGCTCTTTGTAGCCCAGCACAGCATTTGCTTTGTGAGTAATTAAGGATTACATTAAGAAGGGGAGCAGGTGTGATGAGAAACAGCTTCATGTGCCCTCAAGGACCTTTAAGGCTCTCAAAGCCAGAAGGCGGTATTAAGGGTTGGAAGTACTATTCTTAGGCAAAACCTTTGAATTTCCATTCTTCAAATGTCCTCTTATTCTCAATGGATTGTTTTTAATCTACTGATCCTTCTATGTTTTTTTTACTCGAGGTATCTTACCTTCGAGGCTGCTAGTTGTTGGACCGGACAGACATTCACACAATCTTGGTAGGTTACAGACACAGAAAAACTATTAATAGTCAGTTCCATTAAGATCCCCCCAAGAAACTTCACAAGTGTCTTCTCCTCATCGGACGCTTTGTTTATTGATCAATTTTCAAAGATTTGCTTATCATCAAATTGCTTTGCTTTATGCTTTATATCGAGGGGAAGCTTTTGTTTTTTTATTGGCCCAATAAGAGTAGGATGAAATACATTATCTAAATTATCAAAAGAGGGAAAAGTGTTATCGGGGAGCGAAACCGGGAGGGGGAAGGGGGATTCCCTGATTTGGTTGAGGAAGTCCAGACGGTTGATTCTGAGAGGGGGGAGGAAATGAATGGGGGCCGGTACCGTTCGAGATCGGGGGAGCGAAGTTAGTGGGAGGCGGGGGTATTTGAGCGGGAGGGAAGGGAGAATGGCCGTTAGTAGGAGCGAATCCGGCGGGAGGAGGGGGGAAGTTCCTAGCAGGGGCTTGTTGGAAGGAATTTGTCTGTGCGGGCCGGTAGGCCATCGGGACCGTCGTTGGGGGTGGACCTGGGTACGAGCCGTGAGGGGCCGGGCCAGGTGGCTTGTGGTAGCTCATTGCTGGGTTGTGGTGCCCCCCTCCTTGCCCACCTCCCGCATGGTATGGTTGATGTGGATGGTGTCCGCCGCCACCGGATGGGGGGAATGAGCCAGGTGGGCCATTTGATGCCGGGTTATTGCTCGGATGACTCGATGGGGTCGATTGGGCGTTCGCTGCGTTGTAACGCTGTTTCAGGAGACCACACAACTAGGTAAGTATCGGGGGTATCGGTCAAGAAAGGTGGAAAAGAATACTAACCATCGGATTGGGTGCGCTGGGTGGAGGCGCCGGCAGATTAGCTCCGGTGGCACTTGGCAAGGCGTTGTTCTTCCGCGCCTGGGCCGCAAGCAGTCGCTCCGCGGGTGTCCCGTGTCGCTCGCCCTTGCCATCCTTCTTGAATGCATACTGAACGGTGATCGCCTTGTTCATGAGGAACTGGCCGTTCATCGACTCGATTGCCGTGTCTGCTGCCTCGAAGGACTCGTATGCTACAAAGCCGTACCCATTCGACTGGCCTGTCGTCGGATTCCGTGCAATCTGGTGATCCAGATCAACAAAAATCATTTCCAGTAAATCTTTCATTTGCATATGGGATGTTTGTTTGAATACACTTGAAAAACACCGGATTCACTTTGGCTGTTTGGACTAGTGTTCCAAATGTACTGAAGGTATCATATAACATTCGTTCATCGACGTTAGCGTCGAGATTACCAATAAACAGATTGGCACCAATGTCGACCTGTTTTCGATCTGAAGATGCCTACAATCATGACCATGAGAAAAAGAAGATAGGGTCAAAATGAGTTCGGAGGGATTGAAGATCAGATGAGAGAAGATGAAGGACCTTGTTGACCCGGATCGGCTTCCCGTAGAGCTTGATTTGGTTCATGATCTTACAGGCGTATTCCGCGTCGTCCTCGGTCAGGAATTCGCAGAAACCGTAGCCCTGGTGGGACATCGATACCCGGTCCTTGGGCAGATGAACATTAACTGTGTATTGGATTCGGATGAGAGTACAAGGGGAATTTGATGTCAGATGAGCCCTTGCTGAAATTCGTGTTTGGTTTGGATGACCCAAGATACCACTCACCCACGGGACCGGCCTGGAGCATCAGTTCCCAAACCAAGGCGTCTGTACATCGTTCATCCAAGTTACCCTGTAAACACAACATTGGATTTAACCATCAGGAACTTGAACGACGACACTGGCGTTAGTGAGAGAGGTCCCAGACTGACCATGTAGACCGTGGCTTCCTGGTTCCTGTCTCCATCCTGTGGCCGCGACATCGTGCTCCGCTCTATCTATCTATTGTGTATTGAATGGCTGGTACTCGATCGATCGTCGTTGGTCGTTCTGTGGTGTCTGCTGATTGCCCCTCCTTGGCTGTCCGTCGGATCAGATAGGGGGGGTTTGAACACTACGGATTTTGCATACACAAACCCCCCGACACTTTACTCAGAGTCAGCTGTTGGCCAGACAACTTCCTACACTTCATTTTCCACTGGAATCTGCAACAAATACTCGGCCTGTGCTTAGATCAAGATATTCGAATGCAAAAAAAAAAACATCTGAAGTGCTGAAGTGATGAGTGATGAACCTTAATCCTTGAAGATTTTTTTCTATGAAGCCACAAAGAATTTTCTGTTCAGTTTCTTCTCAGTACTTTCTATTTGGGGTACACCTCTATTTTTCAAATTTCACAGACATATCAATGCACAACAAACTAGAAAGATATGAATGTTTTTAACAATCCAGCCTGCAGAGTGTACTTGTTTGTGGGAGGAAGATGAGCAATAGATAAAACTTGATCAAGTTGACCCTAAGGGATTACCCTGGGTTTTGGGAGGGGGTTAGTGAGGCACCCCAAGGGTTTCCCAGAAGTCCTGGGGATGGTTGTAATTTTTTTTGAGTCAAACCTGGAGCTAATTGTTGGAATAGAAGCTCTGAAGACTGTAACTTTGGTTCTGAGAAGATCAAAGTACAGAAGATTAAATCAACGATCAAGATTGGTAAGCACCATCAGAATAGCACCATTCCCATCAAAAAAAAAAAAGAAAACACCAAGAGACTACAGCTTCAACAACCTGTTTTTTAACAGACAAGGGGAATTCTTTCATAACAGATGAAGTGTAATTTGAGAAGAACTCAAAGCCTAGCACAGATTAAGCTAGAGATGGCCCCGTTGCATCCGGATATCCGCGCGGATGCGGATATCCGGCTGCCTTTTCAGGGGGAAGCCACATCCGCACCCGCAACCGCAACCGCGGGCGGGTATCCCCCCGCCTGAGCGGGTATCCGAGCGGGTATCCTCGGATACCCGGCCTTTAACTGGCCGGCGAGGCACATCCTTGCCGGCTGGAAGGGCTTCCTTCCAGCCGGCGAGGCATGTACCTCGCCGTGCGGAATGGGTTCCTTCCAGTCGACGAGGAATATGTACCTCGCCGGGTGGAGGGTTTCCCTTCCACTCGACGAGGTACACGTACCTCGTCCACTGGAGGGTTTCCCCTCCAGTCGGCAGGGTACATGTACCTCGCCGAGTGGAGGGTTTCCCTTCCAGTCGGCGAGGTACATGTACCTTGCCGAGTGGAGGGTTTCCCTTCCAGTCGGCGAGGTACATGTACCTCGCCGAGTGGAGTGTTTCCCTTCCAGTCAGCGAAATATAAGATTTATTTTCAAGCATAAATCACTTTCTTCTCAATAGAATCACCAGTACTAAACCAATTGCTAAGTATCTTAGACTATATTGCTACAAGTTATCATAGAGTAACTAATGCACAATACATCCCCTACAGACATTAAGTTTTCCCTTACAAAGTGATGAAATTTTTACCGGAGAGGCAGAGAATTTTCTGAGAAGAGAAAATTTTTTGGGGACAACAAAAAGAATGATTTTTGTTGGAGTGGCTTGAGGGTCGGAAAAGGAGAGAAAGAGCCAATGTGTTTCTTTTTTACTTAGAGGAGACTACGTGTTAAATAGTCTACATACAAGAGGTCAAACATGTGGTTGATAAAAATGAATATCAAAATGAATAAGACATATTAACATATGCTTGAAAAGATGACTGGAATAAGTGTAAGTTGATAAAGACTAGACCAGGGCTCAAAGACTACAAGGATTTCAGCCCTAGACAACATAACAAAATATCACACAGAAACTATCAAAAACAAAGTAAAAATCATGCAAATTATTTATCAAATCATATTTAATTTGACAGTGAGATAGATGAGTTCTTTAGGGATGAGAAGAAAAGAGATGAAATTCCAACACAAAGTGATAAATTATTTGACAAGGAGGTAGTATCCCTCCCAGGAACCAGTACTGGTAAGCCTCAAGATCAGACGTCTATGTACAGTATCAAGTTTCAACTCATCTCAAAACAGATTCAGGTCAGATTTCACCAATCACATAAAAAGAGAAGTATTTTCACTCTAATAAAGTAAGATAAAAATTCCAATCATTCATTGAACCTTTAATCCATCAAATTTAGACCTTTCATTCACCTCTTTCTCTATCTCTATAGTCTTTATCAACCCTCAACTCTTCTAGTATCATAAAATAATCTTGTGAAGCATAGCCTTTTTCCAGGTGCAAATTGCTTCTCTAAACCTCAGTCACACTAGTTGTATTGCTATAAACAGTTATCTGCCCTCAAGAAACATAACTTTCAGTTGCTTGAATTCTTTCACTAATGGCCCAGAAATACCTTCCTATCCCAACCACAAACGCTGTCATGGGAGTATTTTTGGTTTCAGACCCTTGATGATGGCTGTCAGCTCTGGTCTCTTATGTGACCTAGAGTTGATAGGGTTTTTGGGTCACACTATAGCCAAGAGGGCCAGTGGAAAGAAGTCCAACTCAACACTGGTACAGTGGAGGGACTGGCTCCTTATAAAAATAAGGGACAGCTGTGGAATGAGCTTCACAGTGCCTGAGCTCAGTTAATATAAGAGAAAAGGGTTGGTACTAGTCTTATAAGTTAAATAAGTAACTTATAAGGCTAGTAATGAGTATAAGGAAAAGAGTAATTAATATGTTAAGACTATTGTAAAAACCCCACTCACTATTTATTAGTATTTTAATATCTAGTAAGGTGATTGGGTTTGTATGGTAATAATGTCTGGGGGATGAATCTCAGGGGGAGAGACATCCTCTTAAATATTACATAGCAGGGGTCAATTCTGCTGCTGGGACCGGTGCAGTCCCCTTATTGTTACACTTTTCCTTGGGGGAAAGTGTCAGGATATTCAGAGCATGATAAATGTACATGTGTTGAATATCTTTTATTTCAGAAAATACCATAAGAGAGATAAACATAATAAACATACACACAAGAGAGGTAAATTGGATAATCATCTCTTGGATACACCCAGGAGATAATTATCCTTTTCAACTTGATTATAATTTTCATGGAAGAGGTAAATTAATAAAGAGGTGAATCTTTATTAATTTACAGAATAATTATTAACATAAAAAATACATGTAAAAAGAGATAACATTACTTAATAGTTATTAACTTAAAGATTACACATAATAATAATTGTTATGTAACCCAAGGGGGTTACATTCTATTGTAGACACCTGGGCTAGTGTCTCAGTGTCTGACAATGGCCTATTCCAATATATTTTTTGTCCTATCTGGTCATATGCATCAAAGCAAGGAAAAAAGCAGGGGGGAAAAAACCACCAAACTATGAACCCCAGGGTTTCAGGGTTGCGCAAAGCCCATCCCCATTCCCGATAGCGGGGGGGTCGGACCCGAAGTCCCATCGATCAGGGTAGTGTGTGATTTGACACGCACCAGGCGCTTTGGTGTGCGATGGTGACCGATCAGCTAGATGACCTGACCTCCTTGTGTGATGGGTGATTTGACGGGAAACCGAGTTTTTTGAGGAATCTGTGGTGGATTGTTGTAATCTGGAAAACCGGGTCTGGCGCGGGTCGGACGCCATGTCCCAACAGATTCAAAGCTCACAAAGTATTTAATTGGCCTTGAAAAGGCCCCTGTGGATCTCGGCTGGAAGAGGTACGCCCGGTCTCAAGAGGTTCCATGGCGAAATGAATTTTGCTCGTCGATTCTGGCCTCCTTAATTCTTGCCTGCAGTCCGGCCATCCCAAGTCGATCGAAGCGCGTGTTGACTATAATTATTTGACTCTGAGCGAAGGTCTTTGGTTGTGAGCGCGTGTTAGCCATCGGATTCGTGGTCGAAGCTCCTCCAAAGCAGAGCGTTCGGAGTGCTGATTCGATCGGCATCATATAGTCATCATCCAGGTTTTCCCGGAATCGCTCAGTGAGGCTGTGTACCAGCTGAGTGTGTTCTTGCGAGGAAATTTACCGGCCGGCGTGGGTGGATGGTCGATAGATAGCCCATCACAGCTCATTTACCCCCGGAAACGCTTCAATGTGGGATCTCATTAATCGAACGGTTTTGAGTGGGTTGGCTTTAGAAAACACTACATCGACAGCTGCAGAAGGGAGGAGGCACTGACTCGACGGTCAACAGAGACAGGGTATATAAGATGAGGCCATCAATCCCTTGAGAGCTATCATCACCACCAACTTCTCCATCCATCAAACTCGCCATCATGCTTTCTTCCTCCCATCACTTGACTCTTGTGACTCTGGTGCTCGCTGCAAGCTGGTTAGCCCGTCCTACCCTGGCTGCAGTGAGCTGCGACGCCAACGAATTCATCGATAGGAATGAATGCGCTCGGTGAGTGTCTTGTCTTCTCGCATCTAGCCCGTTGACTTGCCATTATCTTTACTAATGGCTTTCCTTCCACACACATCTTTACAACCTAAATCAAACCCGGGACCTTGGTGCTCGTGAAACAGAGCGGTTTCGCAAATCGTCTATGAGAAAGCAGGTAATACTCTTGATAGAGTCTCGACCAAGTTTGCAAAGCTATCTGGTAATTGTACCGTATGTCTAGATCCCTTGACCATCTCAAAAGCTTTCAAGAGTATAACTTTTGCACTGATTGAAGATCATTCCATTTGATCAGATACTCGTTGGAAACCCAGAAAAAGGCGTAGTGTTAGTGAGATTCTTACCAATATACGAACGTCTCTTGAATTTGCATGGTCGAATCTGGTCGTGTTGATGATGTCTCATCTGATTCATTGAATTCTTGCATCCCGTGTTCGAGCAGAACCAAACAGCAAATTGAGGCTGGCTTTACCAGCATCTTCGACCAATGTAAAGTCAATGTAAGTTATCAGGCCTCTACCGGCTGCTAAAAGACAATGTGTACCGATTCATGTTCACATGATCCATTTCGCCAATGCCATGTAGACCGGTCAAGTTTCATTGGCCAATTCGCTCTTTCTTCAAGTCCAAGACCATCGTTTAGGATATGATAGTGGGGACATCGAATCTACAACCTTGATCTGTGGTCTCAACACCAACGCACCATTGACAATCAACAAAGATTGTCAGACGTAAGCGTCTGATCAATATCATAGTCCAGCTTCGGAGAAACCTTCCAAGCTGACGTGTGGCAAGTTTCCGGAATCATTCACTTCCAGTGCGTACAACAATATCCCGGTCGATAAGAATGGCCGCTTGTTAGGAGAAGATGGTCAGCCGACGGCTTCCGTATTGAAGACTTTCAAAACCTGCACGGTAAGTTCAGCTGGCATATGCACACCGGTCCTGATCATGATGGAATGAATTGGATGGCACATTGACTCATTTGGCTACCGGGCTATAGGTGCTCGTCTACACAACCGATAACTCCACGCTCATCGGGTAAGTGACTTATCAGCAACTACTCCTCAATCAGAAGAAGGATAGCAAGCCAAAAGAGCTTACAAAAATCTCTGCTCTATCTCATGAAAACTGATCAAATCGGACAGTACCAAGAGCGAGATTGGGTCAGTGGTATCGAAGACGATCAACGATTGCAAAGGAAAAGTAAGCTGAGGTTTTCCCAATCAGTAAGCAAACCCCGTAGAATGCTAACTTGATATCATCGTGACAGTCTGGCGTGATAGGTTCGCCGAAGGGTGGAGCCGGCATTAATGGACTCACAGTGGTTAAAGTGAGAAGCAGTAAAGAATGTGGTGATCATAGAGATACTGAAGGGAAATACCAATCTTGTTATTAGTCGTGTGTGCCAGCTCAATGCTTTTTCATCATGCATTATTCATCTTTCACCACTCCTCACAAACCTTATCTCTCAAAATCTCAACTCTGTAACACCAATCAAAATGTACAAGATTGTAGCATCACTAAATATATGTATTATCTCTGTTTTCCTATTGACAATTACACTCCTCCAGAACATGAAATCTATGGATCATCCAACTCCATGGATTGTGACCGAGCTTGCTGAAAATCTGTCTGAGCTTTCTTGCAAACATAATATTTGGTTTTTGGTTCAAAACAAAATACATTATAAGACGTTGGATCTTCATCTTCAAGCGAATAAAAAATACACAAATTGTCCAATTTAATAAAAAAAACTTGATGATGCCGGCTTTTCATTCCCAGTTTGAAGCTGAGAATGCATGACAGCCAGGGTGAGTGATCCACTCTGAGTGAAGCCAGGAATCAATCCCTGGACGATCAGGAACCAAGCGAAAACTGATATCCAACGCCCTCTGTTCTCACCGAAGATGTCCTTGACGATCTTGCAGCGTTTGATGATCATCCGAGCTTCGAGGGGGAGACCGACTAGCTGGATCTCATGGCCCTCATCAAACATTCAACATCGTACCTTCTTTGGGATTGGAGAGATACTCGGAATATTAGCTAACGTGAGTGATCAGTTTAATCTGCCTAGATGCTTGAAACGTCCCTCATCATAAAAGAAGAATTGCTACTTGATCCGATTGGATTTCTGGGTCTGACATCGATACCCTTTTTGGTATGTTCATGCATAGCCCGGAGAAACTGTGAGGTCGTTGGCCGAGTCGAAGCGTTTGTTGGAAGAAACCCGGGCTGAGATGTTGGAACAGAAGGAAAGAGATTCAAGTAGGCAGTCTCCCTTGATCACCGAGAGAAACTGAAGATCGATGAGTCCAGGGCCAGAACGAGGTTGAAAACGTTCGTGTTCCTATGAATAGTCCCACCCAAGCATACATTCTCCCCTCTTCCGGGTCTTCAGTATCGAGAGCAAGAGGTCAAGGTCTTGAAGACTTGTCTAAGCTCGATCCCAGTCAGTCGAGTCAACCTCTCAATCATCATCCACCGGTCCTGCGAATCTCAGAATCAGGACAAACGCTGAGCAGAAAAATTCGCTTTGCAATGCTTTCCGATTTCAGAACTTCACCGTCATCTTTGGCGGTACGAGCGTCGGTAAGACGGCGTTATTGAGACAGGTCAAGACAAAAAAATTCGATTGGATCTTACAAAGGTCATCTAAGCCGAGCAGAAACAAGATCACTGATTTCGTGCGGCGGATCGGATCTTCTTTCAAACTTTGGAGTCCAGGTCCTGACGGATGAACGATATCATGTGATCCACTTCGATCTAAGGATGGCTGGCTTTGCGGACGTCTCATCCTTGTTCTTGTGCGTCGTGGATTCGCTCTTGACATCATCAATCTTAAAGCCATCATTGAACTTAGATCTCTTTTCGCGGTTTGGTTCCATTGTAGTTCGTTTGCTTGGCAAATGGAGCAGTATTTCGTCAGCCTGGCAAGCCGGTTAGAAGGCTATGAACCGTTCGAGAAAGAAGCTTTAGCATTCAAGGCGAGTCATTGCCAGTCTTCTTTGAAAAACTAAAATGTTGGCAAAACTACATACTGAAAAGTCATCCAACTTGCTAAATCCACTTGGACTTTTTACTTTCTTTGTTGGGCTCTTTCAGCACTTGCGATTGGACGCCCAACGCAGGGTCGAAAAAAATGGACCACCAGTCAAGACTTCTGATATTGCTCATCTTCTGGAGATCTTCCAAAGTTGTCTTCTGAAGGTCAATTTCAAATCCTAACCAAAAGCAATCCCCCGAGACGATTCCAGATTCTGATTAAATGTTACTTTCTCTTGTTTAAAAAAATAATCATAAGTATTGGGAATTCACCCCAGTCAATCCAGATGAAAGCGAGAGAGATAAAGAGAGTATCAGTAATAAGCCGATGAAAGAGTGGGAAAAGAAGAAACTGAAGATGGTTCAAGACAAAGTGAAACAGGAAATGAGCTTATCATCAGACCAAAATTCACCAGTGGACGCGAAACCTGAGCCCAAAGGAATGGAAGCCAGTCGCTCGGTCGAGTTTGTCGAGCCATCTCAAGATCAATCTGCGCCCACTCAGGAGGACAAAGGTCTCGACGAATCTGAGCGTAGTGATCATGATCAGGAGGAATCCTCCGAATGGAAGCCACCGACAAAATTAATCCCAGTCTTGTCAGTCTTCAATGTTATCTTCAGTACACTGCATACAGCGCTCCTCAAATGCCCCAGTGGTTGACAACTTGAGATCGTCCATTTCTCCCTAGTTTTATTGATGAGGTAAGAACTTCATCGTTTCTATTCCTCTCTTTACACGTAATAAGACTCATGTTCTTAACTTTGTCCTTCGCGGACTGACCAGGCGCACAAGTTACCGGCGTTAATCAAGGATCAAGAAACGATGAAATGTATCCTCGACGGCCTTCTAGTGCTGACCAAACAGGGTAACTCATTCTTGTGACTCCATCCGTTTGCGAGCAAAGAGTTGTCAATTTTTCCAGTTTTCTTATCAATCACGAATGATGGAAAACCGAGCTGAGGGTATTTTTGTTTTGGTTTGCAGACCGCTTATGCCATGTGATCAATGCCACCTCGGATCCGTTCTACATGAACTGGCTAAGAAACATGAACGTGCTAACCCATTGTACGATCATCACGATCGGTGACCCGCCCCAAAAGGAAGCCCAAGAATACTTCAACGAGAGTCTGTTATGCACCTTGCAAAAGAAACTCGACCAGCAGCCGATCTGTGATACTCGTGATAGCCAGTCCGGGAACCTGATCTTGAAGCATCAATCCTCTCAGCAGTCTGATTCAACCCACCACCATCAATCGGGCACTTATGAGCTCGGATTCGATTTGATCTATGATACCTTTGGGGGCAAACTGGCCCATTTGCAAGGCTTCGTGGGAGATTATTGTAAGAAATTCGATTCAGATACGACCCTTTGAATCATTCATAGATTAACGTCTCTGTCAATCAAAATCATCCGGCTTGCAGTGAATTCTGGTGGAAAGTTGAAGCCTAAACAATCTTCGCCATTTCTCCAAGCCTATGCCTTACTCCAATACCATATAGTCAACACGCAACATCTACCGCGAGAGGCCGACAAGCTATCGGGGCCGATTTCGCCTTACTCACATCGGGTTCCAATCAAGGAAAGCGTGCAGGCGAGTGTTTCACAAGTGGAGGGCTTGGACCGATCTCACGTCACAGAAGCTGGCGAGACGTTCCAAGCGACGACTCTGTTGTACGTGATTTCGAAGTTCACGAGCTACGAGGTCGAGCGTTTGACGGGGAAGATTGTCCTGGACGACGGCAGCCCAAGCTCGCCGACACCCAAGCCTTCCAGTCCGCGTCAGACGTACTCATACTTCGGCCTCAGCAGGGAGGTCGGCGTCCGCTCCGTCGACCATCTCGTCCGCAACCGCATCCTCGACCTCCGCTGGACCCCGCCCGTCTCCACCGACCCCGTCGATCCCAACACCAGTACCTCTCCTTCAGACATCTCCCCTGCTGACGTTGAACCCGTCGTCTTGCCTGTCAGCCCCGTCATGCGGACTGCTATGCAAACCGTGTTGGACCAACACTTCAAAGAAAATCTGCTCAGATAAACCTACTCATCTTTGCTTCTCACTGATCTGTATCTTCAATTATTATATAAATAGATTGTTTGGGCTCAATGAGTGTGTATGTATTGTATGTCTACAAGGACTGATGTAAATAAGTAGGTCTCCCTATAGCATTCAATCCTGGTCATTTAGAATTTGATGGACAAATATGTTGAGTTGAGGCGCGATCTTTCCAATGGACTGAGGGAGCATCAGTAACTGATGTGCCTGGATCACTGCAACACTTTTCAATAAAAATCCTGGATATCCTGGCAAATAAATAAAACCTGCTTTGCAAATTGAGATTGCTGGAATAGTGGAGGACTTCCTGTTGGGTATACAACAGACTGTATTAAAGCTGTTTTCCCCACAAAAATTTAGCTTTATAACAGCCTGTGATTCCAGCTTTACAGAGCCTGTCAAACTGATGGGAAGTCCTGCAGTGCTATGTATCTGTCTAGAGATGGCCTCAGGGTATCCATTGCTGTTGAAATCCTCGTGATTCGACCTTGTCGACTTCCCCTACTTATTATTAGTCGATCTTCGACTCTACAATCTCCGACCATTACATCCTATCATCATCATTTGGATCACTCCAGAATCCACTTTGGTGAGAAAATAACCCGAACATCCTTCCTCAACAGTCGATCTCAACTAACATCTTCCTTCCTCTCTTAGTCTTGTGTCCTACACTGTCCTATACCTTGTCTTCCTATCCTCAGTTGTCTCTCTTAAGATTATTTCTTCTGTTGTGGTAATTCTTTTTTCTATTTTCATTTCATTTGGTTCTTGATTCAGATTCTAACTTGTTTTTCAACTTCAGTCTGGTTTGGCTTTTTAGTAATAAAATTCTCAAGTTTTCTCAATTGCAGATACCTGTTCTCTGCTGGCGGCGGCAATGTAACAGATACAAGATGCTGTGTGTATCATGGAGAATTCCATGAAGCTGCATGGCCAAAAACCAAATTTGATGCCCCCCAGGCCCAATGGATACCCACCAGAGGATTTGCATTAATTTTGGGTGCGGTGTGAGAACTCCTTTGGGAATGGTGGCAGTCCTGTGAGGGGGAAATAACAAATATGATCTTGCACTTGTTTGATATATATTGTTAGGGGCTTGGAAAAACGACTCCCAAATTTTAGCCAACGACTCCCGTTTCGGTCGGGAGGTTGTCGAACGGGAGTCGTTCTTCCAATTCCCGAAAAAACATAGGGAGTCGTCGCACTAATTTTACCTGGAGAGTTTTTATTTTTTTATTAAAAAAATAGGGAGTCGTCCGCCTAAAGTGCGGGAGTCGGCGCACCAATTCCGCCTAATATTTCGCCCTTTTTTATATTTAAATTGACGGGAGTCGTCCACCTAATACGAGGGAGTCGTTGCACCAATTCCGCCAAATGTTTTGCCTTTTTTTTTCTATATTAAAAAAAGACAGGAGTTGTCCAACTAGAAATGGGAGTCGTCACCATATGGCACCCTCAGAGACTCCAAAAAAAGGTTGAGCCACTGAGGCCCCACCCCAAAGGCAATTTATCAATGATAAAAAAATTAGATTGATTGAGAAAAACCATTGCAAGAGATAAAAGAGATGACAAACGGGCCAAAAATATTCAAAAATGATCAGAAAAGTAAGAAAAAAAAAGGGTAAAAAAGGACATAGAGGAAAAAAATCAAAAACTAAAAAAAACCCTAGTAGTGTTTCATTGGATTTTCTATTTTTCTCTCTACAGTCAATTCAAAAGAATCAGAAAATTGGGCTTCCCATCCCCAAGCCTCTTCTGACGCCTTTTCTTTCCACTCCTTCATGAGCTGAGGGGCAGCAAACAGTCTTGGGTTATGTAACTGCAAGGGGACAAAATGAGAAAAGCAATAAAAATAGGGGGGTTGTCATTGGGGGGGGGGGGCAGAAAGAAGGAAGAAAAGTCTGGCAAAAGGTGTCAGAAAAAAAGCAAACAGGCCTCTCAAAGGCATTTGTCATTACCTCACCCGTCGAAGGCATGGACATCCAATGAGGCTTTGAACAAGGTGATGGCGAATCAACCTTGATACAATCCAAAGCGCCGTGGAGTTTGTGGAACATGTTTCAATACCAATCAGGCCGGCAAACAATTTCATTGTACAATTCATACCGACTCCTAGGGATTTGTCGATGACTCCTGCAAGACAAAAAAAAAGCCCAGTTGTCAGTTTGGACGATTGGGCCATTGACTCCCTTTCCGTCTTGGGAAATTAGCCTGACGACTCCCAAGGAAAAAAAAAGAATCAAGAAAATTAAGGATCAAATTTGGGGCGCCGACTCCCGCCTTTTAGGCGGACGACTCCCGAATTTTCAATTAAAAAAAATAAAAAATTGCCTGTGGAATTAGGCCGACGACTCCCGGGAATTGGAAGAACGACTCCTGTTTGACGACCTCCCGACCAAAACGGGAGTCGTCGACTAAAATTTGGGAGTCGTTTTTCCAAGCCCCTATTGTTATGGGTGGTTTGAAAGACCTGCCCCTCTGATGTACTACACAAGAATTCTGACAACAAAAATTTATATATTGATGTGCCAAAACATTTATAGAGAAACCTTTATGTAGTAGTCTCTATCAGACCTAGACCAATTGATATATATGAAATGCCATGAGACAAGCTATCTAAGAACCTGATTAGGATCACAGGTGCTGAAGAAGGAGGGGGGGGGGGTTGATGAGGATGATCACCAGCTGGCCAGGCTGTGTGATGATGAGATACTTGTTTGAGATCACCCCTATGAATGGGTTGAAATCTCCAAGTGAGATATATGTTGATGCTGGGATTGCATGAGGAACTTGAACCAACAGCGCAACCGCTGCGCTGAGGCTAGCGGTGAGCGTAGCGTAAGCGTAGCGAATTCGCGCTCGCTACCCTACGCTATTTGAAGCGGTCTGGCCGCTGCGCTTTTCGCTGATTGAAAATGGGTCAGGAATCCGGGGTTTTCAGCGAGCTTTCTGTAGCGAGCAATAGCGGCAGTCCGCTGCGCTTAGCGCTGGAATAGCGGAGAGATCGCTGAAAAAGCGGTGAGGGGGTTATATTTCTATGTAGTTGGATCATGTATGTATATGTATGAATGGAAGAAAACTATGTGTATGATATTAATTGGTGAAGAGAAGAAAAAGGGACAGGGACAAGCTACACAGCCGAGGCTGGGTTGAATTTGGGGTTCTTCTTGGTGGCTGCCATGACCGATACACAATCATCAAAACCACCTTGGGCTTGAACTCCGTTTCGAATCCACAGGTGACTACTAATGCACCACTCAATTTTTTGAGGGGCAAGAGCACTTCGTGCTGTTGTACAGATGTCGGAGGCCGCAGAAAACGTCCGCTCCACTGTTGCCGAGCTGCTGGCACAAGCCAAGTAGTCTCTTGCAAGAGATGACAAGATTGGGAATGAAGGTGCCTGTGTCTAATGAAATGATGTAAGGATTAGACATGGCACCTGTTTTTATAGAAAAAGATACGTACTTTCCACCACAGCAATACATTGCCTTTAATGCCTAATGTGTATTTGGTTTCGTAGTATCGGTTCAGCTCGTCTTCACTGTCATCAAGTGCCGAGTTTTTTGGATAAAAGTTGTACTCGTCATCTTCGGGAACAACCGCCTGGGATGATTCCTTGGTCGATGGAGGGGTGGGCAATTTTAACAATGCTTGACGCTCCTTGAACTTTTTTGAGATGAGATCTTGAGCTATCCTATGATGTGATTGGAATTTGTTAGCGAACAGTAGTAATCGCCAGGCTGGATGTAAGATTGTAGCCATCAATATTGGCTCGCACTTCAGAGCCAGATCTTTGTACTTTGTTGCCACTTTGATCATCGGATCAAACATCGCTTCTAAGATTCCATTCTTGCTTGATTCTTTCAACTTTCCCAAAGTCTCAAGCAGTCGGCTATATTCGTAGAGAACCATTGCACATGATGGTCCATCTCCCTCCATTCGCTTGGTTAAATCCAAGAACTCCTACAGTGCATACATGGATCCAACTCATTTTAGATCAGACACAGTGATTGGTTTGACAAACACAAAGTAGCAGAATCTACTTACCTTGAGAATCACATTAAGAACTTTGATATCATCCCACTCCCTTGATGTAAACTCATATCCGCTGAAGTAGGTACCTTTTCCATTCTCGGTTTCATTCACCAGTAGTTGGTTAACAACCTAACATGAAAACAATGATGAGTAACAACCTATGTACGATGCTGTGAAAAGATCTAAATGACCTACTTTTCTTGCATTGTATGCTCGACTCCGGCTATTATAAGCAATGTTCCATCGGATGCCATAGCCTCCAATGATACCAGGACCCTCATAGCCTAACCTCCCTGCCCATACTTTGAACTCTGCTTGTTTTGCAGGGGAGCTAGCAATCCGGCAGCAGACATAGTCGATCTATGTAGTTCAGATGGAAAAAGCATACCGTTATTTTTTGATTGGTTTGGAATACATTTCAACTTTGTAGAAATCACTTTACCTTTTTTAAGGTGAATCCAATACCGCTGAGGGCGTACTCTCCTTTGGTCTTCTTGCCAGCTACTTCATTGGTTTCTTCGGGTTCAGAATCTGATGACATATCGTCCGGATCGACTTCGTCTTCAGCCTCGGAGTTAAATTCTTCAGCGCCATCATCAATTAACTCGCCCTCTTCATCAATCGTCTCGAGTGTTGGGAAATTTTCTGGTTTTTTCGATTTTGGGCCCTCGGATGTTGATAGCTTGATTGCCGATAGTCCAGCCCCCAAGATGAGGGCCAGTACATGACAAAAGCACCTCTGGTGGTTAATTGAATTATCCCAGATTGTTCCGTTGTGAGTTTGGATTAATTGAGACAACTCTTTGGTCATTGTAAAGTTGTTTGACCCGGAGTCTGTCGTTTTTGCGAGGATGTGCTGCATCAAAAAGAAACAGAAGATAAGATTGTGAATAAAAATATTTGGATTGGAATCAAGCATTACTTATCTTTCCATGTAGGTTATGCTT